CGGATGAAGATCTGAAGCGACACACTATACCGCTGAAGTTCCCCCGTCCATTGCATGAAGCAACGTTCGTGACTAGCGCCTTTACGTGTTACAACGGAGTATTTCGATGCCGAGCGTTTTCCGGGCGCCAGCCTGCAAGTTTGCCTGATTTGCCAATGCTGGACCAAGAGCAACAGAGGGAAACGTTTGACCGTTCACGAGAACAGCGGATGCGCGAAATTTGCCTGGAAGTTATCACGCGAGTTACTGCAGATGCGAAAACCATCCGGCCAGATGCTCTATCGCGATGATGATTGGGTTGATTTCCACCGACCCACCAATTAAGGACGACTGGGGAGGTTGGAACGGACCATGCCCCCCACGCAACGACCCTGAAAGGGGCCGAGCAATAGTTGGGGTCGGCAACCGCGAAGTCGCTGTTCAATACCCCGACTCAAGGTAAACTCTGCACATTAAAATGTGAATGGTCCGAGAGCTCGGGTCAGATGATACGGCGCTCCAGACTATATTTGTCTGTGTCGCAAGTTTTCCTGCAGGGGCACCTGCTATGACTTTTGAGTAATTGCCAACTAAGTAAGGGGAGTTGCGCATGACTGATGCTAGTAAACTATCCCCCAAGGTGCGCGTTGCATTGCAATTCTTGGCCCGAATCTACTTCGTGATCGAGAACGCGGTCGCAGTCCGACTTTTCAAGGGTAGCCATCGGCTACCGGCCGTCGCGCACGCTGACAGCGATGCCCTGGTGCGCTATGACAGCGACGTCGCGCCTGGTTTCTTCAACTATGAGTCGCGCATGCAAGGGTTACACAGTGTCTGGAATCATCCAAGCCGCAGGCAGGCTTTGATGGGGACCTCTTGAATCCGAGGAACACGCAGGTGGCCTTGTTCCAGGCGGTGACACTCACACAGCGGAAGCGCTTGAGAAGGAGATGCATCCGCCTGCAGGACGCCCCCTGCGGTTCAAGAGAAATCAGAGGCAAACCTCGAGGCTGATGCCCTCGAAACTCGGCATGCAGAACTTCAAGGCGAACGTGGGCTTCTCGAGACCGCGACGCTTGAACCACCATGCGTTGCTTTTACTATGACGGCATTTGACAAGACGGTCCTGCGCGCCGCAGCTGAAGACGACCCAGGCACTCGTCATCGCGGAGGCGCACATTACCACAGCGCAGATGTTCGTTAAGAAAGACGCAGGAAAATCCGGCCGAGTCTCGTCCTGCGAGGATTCATGGATGCAGAAGCATTAGGTGTGGGGACCTTCTCAGGACTGGCCGGAGGGTCACGTCGACGCCTGTTGGCCAGTGAAGGCGCATGGAACCCTGGCTGGATCATCGCGACTATGAGCATAGACTAGGCACCCCTGAAGGGTCTTACTTCCCGCGAGCTTGCTGAAGCCACTGGAGAGCGGGAGCGCATCGCATGCTTTACGCTACCGCCTGGCTCAGCAGCCGCACTGAGAACTCTTTCTGGGCTCGGGAAGCACGACGAAAGTCGACGCTGCCTGCAGCGCTTGAAGCCAGGCGCTGGGGCGAAGGACGCTTCGCGCGCCATCTCCCTGACGCTTCGCAACATCGCGCGCGGCCTCGGCCTGCGAGCCGCGCCCTTCGACGAGGAGCTCGAAGCAGCGGAGGCGATGCTGACGGCCGGACACGTGGACGACGTCAACATGATTGGAAGGAAGGAGACTATCGATCGCCGCATGAAATGCGTCGACGACACTTTCGGCGCGCGCGAGCTCAACGCGCGCGCACTTGCGCCAACTGCGCCGTCATGCGCGCGAAAAAGAAAATCGGGGGCGCCACGTTAGATCAGGGCGAACACATCAGGCAACTCCGCCCTATCCAACGCCCCGACCTCACGGGCGCGGAGACTGAAGGGAAGGCCGCGAAACCTGTCGCAGACATGTTCGTTCGCCTCCGCGGAGCATGAGCATGTGCTCTCATGGCCCAGGCCTGGCCGGCGGCGCGCGTCGCCCCCCTGCAACGGGCGCGAGAACCCGCTGACATTCAGGCGCGGTAGCTGAACGCAATCGCGCGTAATTTTCATGGCCGGCCGCAGAAGATAATAGTCTATCCGGCTATGCAACCCGCCGGAAAAGTCGACTAACATAGCGACTCCGGCTACCGACGATTGACCGGGGACGCTGAGGATGAAATGACAGGATGCGGCATGAGAGGTGCCAGCTTACTCCCGCGTGGGCTCGCGCGCGCTGGTAGGGCCGTCGTGCACCTGATAGATGCCTACTGCAAGTAGCATCGACTGCAGGTAGGGTCAAGCAACTCTGCAGAAGCGCTTGCAGGAGCCCGCAATAGGATTTCTACCCGACCACTGTTTCGCTACGTGAGTTAAAAGCTGGACCGCTCACACTTACATGATTCAAACACATACTTGAGATGGGCGGTCTGTGCATCAAAATTACCCTTGCCATTGATGCTGAGTCGGCATTTGAGACGTTATCCTGCAGGGTCCTTAAGAAGCCCGCAGAATGCACGCTGGAAGGACATATTAGCTGGATTGGACAGATGATGGACAGACATATCGTGCACAGCATACACTGGTGTGACGCACGGTATCTGACTGCCCATGGACATGCCGAAGGCAGCATATAATGGCATCTGCTATTACAGGTAATGGCTGGAACGCAATCCTTTAAGCACGAGTTGAATACTCACACTCCTTACAGGGCTCCGACCTCGAAGGTTGAGCCCGGCTCGTGATGAGCCGATGGAGTGCTTTAATTTTGCGTGGACACGCTTCGAGACAAGCTTGTTTCTTTTGCATTATGTTTGTCATGTTCTACTGTAAGTTTCTACTCTTGTACGCTGCTTGCGTTATTTGGCCCGTCTTTTTTGGACCCCGCAGGGCTGCCGCTGGCAATTGACCGGGCCAGCTCCTGCCGTATGCATATTTAATTTTGCAGCCTAGATCTCGGCTCTTGGCCAGGTGACCTGCCGCCTCTTTGCGGACAACGCTTGAGTTTGGCCGGCTGGGCACGACTCACCATGAGTCTCTACGCACTTTCGTTTGACATGAAGCTTGACCTTGATGCTCGCCCTTCTCGTTTCCTTCCCCTTCGACTTCGAAATAGGGGCTCGGAGGGTGCATGTTTATAGCGACCATAGCGAGTATCCCGTCGGCGCCTGACTCAAGACGCCGGCGCTTTATATGCTTGGCTTGCCTGAGGATTCGGCATTGTATTATCGGATTCGAAACAAAATCTGAACAGTCTTCTGGATGGTGCCCATCTCTCAACTACCTTCCAACCTGCTTCCACATGGTCCTCATCCTGCTTTTTATTCGCACACGCACACGCACACGCACGCGAACACGCGCACGCACACGCACACGCATACACACAGACGCACACACGCACACACTCATACACTTGTTGCGTCGGCGGCTAGGCAGAGTGACTGCGCTGGCGAACGCACGCACGCACAGACACACACACACACACACACACACACACACACGCACGCACGCACGCACGCACGCACGCACGCACACACATACACACACACACACACACACACACACACGCGCACCGCACAATGCGGTCAAGCAGCCGCTGTGTATCCGGCGCATGTCGCCTTCGGCGGAAGCAGGTGGGAGCTGGCGGAAGTAACACTGCGGCGGGTCCGTTGGCGCAAGTCGGCGGAAGGTCGGCGGAAGGCAACAGCAACAGGGCGACGTCAGCGTTTCTGGATTCAGGGTGCGCGATTGGCGTCTCATCTTCGGCGGTTTTTCGCCCGTCCAGCAGACGGCAGTCCTTCCTTGTGTCCGACGGGGACTCGGCGCGGACTCGACGCGGACTCGGCGTGGATTCGACGCGGATCCGGCGCGAATTCGACGCGGACTCGACATTGATTCGGCGCGGACATCGGCGCGATGGGACAGGCAGGGTCCCCCGAAGGAACCACACAGCGTGAGGGCCACCTGGGGCCCGACACTGGGTGCACAACAGGCGCGGGGTGCGGCTCTTCTTCCGCGCCCCTCCCCCCCCTGAGGGCCTTCTCTCCCCTCGAGAGGTGGGTTCCCTGGGCCTGGCCCTCAGGGCGCCATCCCGCCAGGACTTCGAGGCGAGTCCCGCCAGAGGACAAGGGCGTAAACATAAACTTGTGAACATCCGCATGGATTTCTTGGATTGACGCTGGACCCCCCTGGCGGTGCCTCCAGCGCCGCCCCTGCCGCGCTCTGCGCGCCAGGGAGGGGCCCAGGGACGATCCAACACATCGGCGTCACCCTCCGACAATTTATCATGCCGTTTCTTCCTCTCCTTGTAGACGAGGGCACCCCAGGAGGTTGCAGCAGAGCATCAACGTCCGTCTTCCTCATCTGGCCTACCGCACCGAACCACAGAACCCCGAGACGAACCGAACGAAACCGATCCGAAGGACCGAGCCGAACCGAAGAGCGGAACCGAACCCAAGATCCAACCGATTCGAAGGGCCAGACCGCACAGCCTGACGGACGAACCAACGAACCAGGCCGAATTATCAAAGAACGTACCGAACCGAACCGAAGAACCAAACCGGTCCGAAGATGTTTTTTGTTTTGTGTTCAATGTGCGGCCCGAGAGGTCCCGACCCCTTCCCCCGAGATAGTTTTTCCTGTCATATCCAATTCTGACGGGGCCCGACAACGGGACACAGAGGCGAAACTGTCGAACAAACTCATATCGTCGATGATCTCGGGGCGGAGTCCAGAAACCCCGGTCCTCGATCCTCGATCCTCCATCGTTCTCGATCCTCGATCGGTCGATCCTCGCTCGATCGATCACCGATCCTCGGTCGAGCCTCGATCCTCGATCCTTGAGCGATCCTCGAGCGATCCTCGAGCGATCCTCGAGCGATCCTCGATCGAGCGATCCTCGAGCGATCCTCGATCCTCGATCCTCGAGCGATCCTCGATCGAGCCGACCCGGGCCGGCCAGAGCCGGCGCCGCAACGTCGGGCCCGGAGCCCGGAGGGGAGCCTCGTCGAGCGTCGGGCCCCGGGGAGGAGCAGAAGCTGTGCCCGCTGGAGGCGCTCTTGGAGGACCTGGGCGGCGAGCGCTTCGCGGTCCTCGTCCTTCTTTTCTCCCTCCTCCTCGTCCTCTCCTCCTCCCCCTCCTCCCCCTCCTCGTCCTCCCCCTCCTCCTCCTCTCCTCGTCCCCTCCTCCTCGCGGTTCGCGTTCCTTCTCCCCCTGCTCCTCGTGCTCCTCTTCTCCCTTTGGGGGGGGCGGCGAGCGCTGGGCCACTCAGAGGAGGGAAAGGTACCCATACCTCTACCCTCTCCTCGTTTTCCCCTTTTGGGGCCTCCTGGGCCTCCGTCGTCGCCACCGCTGGATTCGCCTCGAAATCCTGGTCAGAACGCACCCCATCAGAGGTCCGCGCACGCTCCCTTCGGGAGTGGACAGAACCCCCAACAGTGACACGTCGATTAGTGAATTGTCCGTTTTCGGTTCTCGAGAGGGCGCCGCGGCCGTTATTTTCCAGGTTTGCGCCCGCCAGGTTTGGGCCTCAGGTCGTTTTCACTAAACCACGTTTTACTAAAGGGGGGTCTGTCCATCCCCGATCCCTGTCCTCGAATAGGGGGTCGACTACAGGATTGATTTGCCCCAAACTTGATTTGCGCGTCGAGCTTGCGCAGACGTAGAGTGTTCGTACACACATGAGTCAGCCTTCGTATTTTGGTACAGATCGACGAACCAATCACTTCTGGAGCAGATCAATGTTGTAGTCGATCCCCTACTCGATGTCCGCGCTGCCTGATCTCCGGTTCTCGCTCCTCCAGCTCCTCATCCCCCTCTTCCTCCGCCTCATCCCTTCTCGTCCCTCTGCCACCCTCCCTCGTCCCTCCCTCCTTCACCCGTCGGAGGGTACAGAGAAGAGCAAGCGCAATGGGAATGGATGGGTGGGAGAGGTAGGATCTCAGATCTGGCGCGATCGTACCAAGCTTTCCTTCTCCTCCTCCTCCGGCAGACCAGACTAACCCCAGCACGCGGCAACGATGCTGCAATACACCCTCTCTCCCAGTGTTCTTTGCATCATGTATGTTCACAGCCAGAGGTGCACCCTTGAAAGACGAACGCCACTTGGGCTGGGCTGAGCTCTCACACTACAAAATCTTGTGTGAAACCCTCGTCCACCCATGTAATTGATTCGTACTGGCAGTGGGTTGCCTCACAAAGGCTATGCCCAGTGATTTCTTAGTAGACGTATTACGTATTGGAATTTATGTTATAACACCGGACCCGGAGTCGACGGTTAAGAGGAGGCAGCTGGCGAGGGCCAGACTTGACACTACTACGCGGATAAGTAATACCGATACGACCACTTTTCGGGTGATAAGGAGGTTGGGGGGGGGGGAAGGGGGAAGCGGTCGATTTGCGATGGTATTGGGTTCTTGGGTGGTTTCTTCAACTTGATCATTGTCCCGCACATCTGCCCATCTATGTATCGGCTTTTTATCTAGTTATCGAGTTAGGGAAACCGTCTTTGTCTTTCTATACATCTATATACATACATCCGTCTATCAGTCGATCAGTCTATTATACCAGGCTGTCAGTCTATCAGTCTATGACTATATATATATAGCCATGCCTATGTATGCTTATATATTTATGTTATGTTTATTTTTGGTATATACGTTTATGTGTGTATACACATGTAAATCTTTCTTGGTATTTACACATAAATATGTATATATATATATATACATATACATATATTATATATGAAAAATGTCTCACATACAGTTATATATCAAATATCCATGTGTATATACACATAAACCAACCATCGGGACAACAGTCGGGACAACCATGGGGGCAATATTTGACAACATCTATCGATCGATCTGTCTATCTATCTATCTATCCACGCGACAACCATCTGGACAACCATCGGGACAACCATCGGGACAACCATCGAGACAACCATCGGGACAACCATCGGGACAACCATCGGGACAACCATCGGGAAAATGATCGGGACAACTATCGGGGCAACCATCGGGACAACCATCGGGACAACCATCGGGACAACCATCGGGACAACCATCGGGACAACCATCGGGACAACCATCGGGAAAACCATCGGGACCACCATCGGGACAACCATCGGGACAACCATCGGGACAACCACAACTATCGGGACAACCGCCTGGGCAACCGCCGGGACAGCCGAGGTCCACGCCCGACGCTCGGGGGGCGGCCCTTTGGCAATAGATGGCCTATACCTATACGACCACCCTGCGGGTGATAAGGAGGTTGTGGGGGGGGGGTGGGAGGGGGGGGGCTCATGACGACAACTGTGGTGAATGTGGTGCTGATGGCAGATGATGGTGTGGATGACGTGGCGGATTTTTTTTGTTTTTGCGTTTGGGCGTTTTGTGTCATTCGGTTTACCGCTGCGCGACGCGGCACTCACCCCACGACGGTCCAGTCGACGATGCGTGCACTGGCAGGGCCTGGTGCGTGCGTCCGGACCTCTCCTGCCCTGCCTTGGGAGTCACGCTGGCAGTGCCTGGCGTTGACCGACTTGCGTCGCATGGCCTGAGCCCTTGAGCCGAACTAGAGATTTAAAGAATTAGCTTAGAGTTCAAAAAATAAGGATACGAGGAGGAGACGCAAGAGAAGGTGTCCCATGATGAGCAACCATGATGGTGTCCCATGATGAGCAGCCATGATGAGCAACCGTGATGAGCAACCTGCGGGACAATGATGAGCAACCGTGATGAACATGATGGGCAACCATCATGGGCAACCGGCGGGACAATGATGAATTCACGATCGATCTCCTTATCGATCTCCTTATCGATCTCACTATCGATCCAACATTCGGTCCCACATTCGGTTTCACAATTGATGTCACTATCGATCTCACCATCGATCTCACTATCGATCCCAGTATCAGACTATCGATCTCGCAGTATATCTCACTATCGATCTCACGATCGATCTCACGATCGGTCTCACTATCAATCTCAATCGATATCACAATCGATGTCACAATCGATCTCACATTCGGTCTCACTATCGATCTCACTATCGATGTCATTATCGATCTCACTATCGATCTCACGATCGATCTCACTATCGATCTCACGACAGGACACCGACGGGACACCGACGGGACACTGCGGGCTCGATCTTTCAATCGATCTCATAATTGTTCTCACTATCGATCTCACAATCGATCTAAACATCGATCTCACAATTGATCTCACTAACGATCTCACTATCGATCCCACTATCGATCTCGCATTCGATCTCACAATCGATCTCACTTTCGGTGCCACTATCAATTTCACGATCGATCTCACGATCGATCTCACTATCGATCCAACATTCGGTCTCGCATTCGGTCTCACTATCGATCTCACTTTCGGTGTCACTATCAATTTCACGATCGATCTCACTATCGATCTCACTATCGATCTCACGACAGGACAACGGCGGGCGACCGACGGGACAATGCGGGCTACCGCTTGACACGCGCCGGCGGGGGAAGCATTCATATTGGCGAGCCACTAGCGACAGACAGGACAACGGCGGGCGACCGACGGGACAACGCGGGATATTATTTGACACGCGCCGGCGGGGGAAACATTTATGTTGGCGAACCGCTGGCGACAGACAGGACAGCGGCGGGCAACCGGCGGGGCAACGCGGGCCACCGCTTGACACGCGCTGGCGGGGGAAACATTTATGCTGGCGAACCACTAGCGACAGACAGGACAACGGCGGGCAACCAAAGGGACAACGCGGGCCACCGCTTGACACGCGCCGGCGGGGGGAAAAATATGTTGGCGAACCACTAGCGACAGACGGGGCAACGGCGGGCAACCGACGGGATAACGCGGGCCACCGCCTGACACGCGCCGGCGGGGGAACAAATGCGTTGGCGAACCACTAGCGACAGACAGGACAACGGCGGGCAACCGACGGGGCAATGCGGGCCACCGTTTGACGCGCGCCTGCGGGGGGGACATATATGTTGGCGAACCACTAGCGACAGCAGAATGAATTCCTCTCGCCCGCGCGCGCAGCTTCGCCTCGCCCGCGCGCGCGACGCGAACGCGAAACCGAAACCGATTTCCCGGTGGGGGGCTCTCTGTCTCACTTCGATCTCACCCCCCGACCTCCGACTATGGGTGGAACTCGCGCAGCTTCGCCTCGCTCGCGCGCGCGACACTAACCGAAGTCGAAACCGATTTCACGGTTGGGGCCACTTCCGTTCCAACCCCCAACGTCCGATCCGTAGCGAGCACTATCCTGACATGGGGAAGTGACAGCGCCGAGCGAAGGCCATCTGATTAGAAGGCGTCACTGTGCCAATAGGCCGCTTTTGACTTGTTCCCTCTCGCGGGCGCCCTCGCTGCCTCCTGGTGCCCCTTGACGGCCTGCGAGTTTGTGGGCGCGACACGCCGCGCCCAGCCGGTCAGCTCGCGACGAAATTTCACGCGTGTGATATAGCGTGCGTGCGCAAGACACGCACGTGCGCCACTCGTTGCCGCCTGTTCTTCAAGGGGGCCATTTTTCCAAGACGCAACAAGCATCATAAATCGCAGCCGCGCATGTGGCGCACGCATGCCCTCGTCGTCGCATCGCTTGGTTGGCAGAGCGGCTTGCGCGGATGGGAGGGGCGCGGGCTCTCGGGTGCGCCTTTGCGCCGCGCACGAGTGTCGGTCGACCGGGGATCGCAGTCGGGGCCCGACCGCGCGTCGACGAGGAGGGTTCGGCGCATTTTGCGTGCGCCATGCGCCCCTGCAGGCCGAGAACGTTAGGTTCCACGGGAAGTCTTTGGGGCACAAGTTTGCCGCGGCGTCTTGGTTCGGGCCGGGCGAGCCCGCGCGCGTCGCGCTGCAGGCGACCTGCGAGGGCGACAAGCTCTTCAGTGGTAACGTGCCGCAACCCCAGGACTGGCTGCGAGCATGGCGGATGACCAGAGGTCCTCGTTCGTGGTTGGCGGCAGAGCGAAACGATGCCACGTCCAACATCGTTCTCCAGATCCGCCCCGCAGCGGCGCAGCGGAGAATCTGGAAGGCATTCT